CCTAGCTTCTGTGTAACTCTGGGCCTAGGTGCACTAACTTAACCTAACTCTGTTAAACTGGTTCCTAACTGTGGCATAGCTATGTTAATTTTAACCTAGCTATTCCACATCACTTATGAAGGACCACTTGTGAAAATTTGTCTGGACTGCCTCCAAGTGAGTTGCCTACCCTGGCAAGCTCTTGACACCGAGCTCTGAGGTCGGTACCCCAGCCTCACAAGTGGCTTATAGGACAGATTTTCATAAATGACTGATGTTGCAAGAAATCTCGCCTGCATGCACGTTTAAAGGACTAACTTACTTGGTGATGTAGAAGCTATTCTGGTCTTCAACCTCCCTAAGCTTAGCCCCTTGGACTTCCCCTCAGAAACCATGTGCAACCGGCAGCCTTAGTTCCTGCAATATTCAATCTATATTAGTGACCAGCCTGCACCTCAGAAATTCCTGTATCCAAGAGGGTGTGTATCCCCTAGTGTAACTAAGCAGAAACGGACACTAGCTTCTAAATTGACAAGAGACAAATTCACGTACTGGTCATAAACTGCTGGCCGCACAAAGGCCACAGCATGACTCGCTCGCATTTTTCCTCAGACCCTGGCCAGAATCCTAAGAAAAAATGGAGGTCTTGTCTTACTGTATGGGCCTGATGGAGGAGGTCATCTACGGTACATCGAGGTGCCTCCACCAGATTTCCCCAGGTCTCATATGTGAAGACATGTGGGGGCGCCGCCTGCTGATCACGGCACGTGTTGTTCAGATGGTGTCTGGTCCTAGAAGAAAGATCTGGCGTCTTCGAGACCCGTGCCTCATCGTTCAAACTTGGGCTGCCAGTTCTCCCTAGCTAACTTAACCTAGTGTTTGCCTACATTTGGCCTATTACTACCTATGTTAAGGTCTTAGGTCTACATTATTATTATCTACAGTTGCCTCAATAACCTAATATTAGTGTACTAACAGTATAAACTACCTACTTCTTCCCTGAAGGGTAAATCTATCAATTAAGAAGTACTTTCCATCCACCTTCGCCAACCCGGGTGAGTGTGTTTGTGTTTTGGGTGGGTTTAAGGGCTCTCGAACGGTGTGTTTTTCCCCATTGGGACTTCTCGGACCGAATAAGTTTCAACAATGGTAAATGTAATACCTATTTACAAGGCAGGTGACAGGTCCTCAGCTTCGAACCATAGACCAATAAGCCTTACCTCCATAGTGGGAATAATTATGGAATCAATAATTGCTGAAGCAATTCGTAGCCATCTTGAAAGGCATAAATTGATTAATGAATCTCAGCACGGTTCTACAAAGGGGCATTCCTGTCTTATGAATTTACTAACTTTCTTCACTAAGGTATTTGAGGAGGTAGATCATGGTACTGAATACGATATTGTGTATATGGACTTCAGTAAGGCTTTCGATAGACTTCCACATCAGAGACTATTGAGAAAACTCTAGGCACACGGTATAGGAGAAATTTTTTTCCTGGGTTGAGGCATGGTTGACAAATAGGCAGCAGTGTTTGCATAAATGGGGAGAAATCAGAATGGGGTACGTCACAAGCGGTGTTCCACAGGGGTCAATGTTGGCCCCCTTGTTGTTCACAATCTACATAAACGACAGATGAGGGAATAAATGGTGACATAAGCAAATTTGCTGATGACACGAAAACAGGCTGTCCAGGTCATTCTAATGACAGAGCACTCCAGGATGATTTGAATAGACTGATGCAGTGGTCGGAGAAGTGGCAGATGCAGTTTAATATAGACAAATGCAAAGTTCTAAATGTTGGACAGGAAAATAATCATGCCACAAACTAAATAATGTAGATCTTAATATTACGGATTGCGAAAAGGATTTAGGAGTTCTGGTTAGTAGTAATCTAAAACCAAGACAACAGTACATTAGTGTTCGCAATAAAAATAACAGAATCCTTGGCTTCATAGCAAGAAGTATAAATAATAGAAGTCCTCAGGTTGTTCTTCAACTCTATATATTTGATTAGGCCTCATTTAGATTATGCTGCACAGTTTTGGTCACCGTATTACAGAATAGATGTAAATGCACTGGAAAACGTACAAAGGAGGATGACAAAGTTGATCCCATGTATCAGAAATCTTCCCTATGAGGACAGACTGAGGGCCCTGAACCTGCACTCTCTACAAAGGCATAGAATTAGGGGGAACATGATTGAGGTGTATAAATGGAAAACAGGAATTAATAAAGGGGATGTAAATAGCGTGCTAAAAATATCTAACAGACAGGACTCGCAGTAATGGCTTTAAATTGGAAAAATTCTGATTCAGGAAGGATATAGAAAAGCACTGGTTTGGAAATAGAGTTGTGGACGAGTGGAAACAAACTCCCGAGTACCGTCTAGAAACTAAGACGTTGTGTAGTTTTAAAAATAGGTTGGATAAATACATGAGTGGGTGCGAGTTGGACCTGACTAGCTTGTGCTACTAAGGTCGGATGCACTTCTCCTCCCTTAAGTGACGTGTCTGACCTCACTAGGTCAAGGCATTGGTGGCCCCGGGGGGGAAATGAGAGGCCCTCGTTTGGCGGGGGGTTTGCAGTTTCTTTTTTTTTGTTCCCTCCAAAAACCTTGTTTCACTTTTCCATTCCCCCAAGTTAACCCCATATTTAGACTTTGTACCCTGTTTTTTGGGTTTTTAGTTCCCCCCTTGAAAAACAACAAAACTTACCCCTTTTTTCTTTGAAAAACCCTTTTTTACCTCATGCCCTTTTTTTTTCTTCATTAAATTTTACATTTCCAAACTTCCTTGATCCTCATATTTCCAAATTCAACCGTTGCCCACTTTTTTCAGTTCTTGAAATGCATCCACCGCCCATCTCGTTCAACACATATTTACCCCATGCCTTTTTTTCATTCATTATCTTTCCCTAAAAATCAAAAATACTTATCTTTCCTTTCCCTTTTTTACTAACCTCCTATTTTTTTATCATTCCAACCATTCACTGTCCAAATATCTACAAACTGACTTTTTTGGTTATTTCCCAGGTTCCTAAATATCCATTCAATGATTTTTTCTTTTTTAACTTATTTTTATTCTCTGAAAATTACCCAATATCTTTCATATGGAGTTTACCTGGAGAGAGTTCCGGGGGGTCAACGCCCCGCGGCCCGGTCTGTGACCAGGCCTCCTGGTGGATCAGAGCCTGATCAACCAGGCTGTTACTGCTGGCTGCACGCAAACCAACGTACGAGTCACAGCCCGGCTGATCAGGAACCGACTTTAGGTGCTTGTCCAGTGCCAGCTTGAAGACTGCCAGGGGTCTGTTGGTAATCCCCCTTATGTATGCTGGGAGGCAGTTGAACAGTCTCGGGCCCCTGACACTTATTGTATGGTCTCTTAACGTGCTAGTGACACCCCTGCTTTTCATTGGGGGGATGTTGCATCGTCTGCCAAGTCTTTTGCTTTCGTAGTGAGTGATTTTCGTGTGCAAGTTCGGTACTAGTCCCTCTAGGATTTTCCAGGTGTATATAATCATGTATCTCTCCCGCCTGCGTTCCAGGGAATACAGGTTTAGGAACCTCAAGCGCTCCCAGTAATTGAGGTGTTTTATCTCCATTATGCGCGCCGTGAAAGTTCTCTGTACATTTTCTAGGTCAGCAATTTCACCTGCTTTATACTCCCTTCTAGAGGGTTGAGTGGGGGCCTTGAAGACGAAGTATTAATGATCCGAAGAATAGAGGTATTCTTCCCTCTGACAAAACCCATTATTTTCAATTTACCAGGCACTGTGACCCCTAGGAGTTCTGTACTTCCTTATGCCCCCAGCATGATAGTGGCTTTCTTTGTACTTAGCAAACCAAAATTGTAATTACACTGTAACCTTTTCAAAGAAAAATATCTTTATGAATACAATTCCTCACTTTGGTACAATTTCTATTATTTCTAAGTTGATTTAAAGACAACATAGCAAGTCAGATTTAAGGAAGTAAGGTTTAGACAGCTGTGTACAAGTCTGCTGTGAATCACATATCAATTTATTATTATTATTATTATTAAAGATTAGCCGGTATTCTCCCGGCCCGGGCCTTTTCCAAGTGGTGGCCCGGCCTTGGCTCCCTCTTTAGGGAGTGTCTGAGACCTAAGTCTCCCATGGGAGGAGGCACAAGTACCTCCTCATCTTTGGGACCAACTGTCCCCAGGCCAACCCACAAGCTAGGCCTCTCTGGTCTGCCATCCCCGCCCCAAGGGGGCTAATGGGAATGACAGTCTTATAAGCTAAAAGCTCGGGCTCAGGCACCTACCCTACCCTAGAAGAGTCAGGCATGGTGTCGATGCACACATATCAATACACTGCTTTTTGACTGGTAAAATATAAAGCCACATTTCTTTATAATACCAGAATGTTATGTTAATTTTGGTAAAAAATTACTAACTTCCACAATGCCAAAGTCAGTGAAAGAATGCAAAAACAATGCATTTTTTATAATATACCTAGAAAAATCCCGACTTTCACGGTAGTTTAAATAATGGCACTGGTTACAATTCACTTATTGTACAAGGTGCAGTAGTTATGTGTTATAAGAAGCAGCAGTTACTATGTACTTAGTTTTATTGTAAGATGGGCAGTGTACAAGGGACAACAGTTACAGTGTAACTAGTGTGTGTACAATAGGAAGTAGTTACAATGTAATTTAAGGTGTTAATGTAAAAGTGCAGGAGTTAATATATACTTTGACAGTATCACTATACAAGATATTGCAGTAAATCGTGTAGTGGTGAATAAAATACTGTACAAGTGAGGAGTAATTACTGCACTGATAAAGGTTACACTGTACAACGTTAAGGAAGCAATACATACAATGTGCTTGTTGAAGGTGGCAGTATACAAGAGGTAGCGAGTCATTATGATGCATTTGCGAGCAGTGTTTTACAATGGAAATTTTGTACAAGAACGCTAAGCAGAAGCATTATACAAGGAAGTGGCTGCACTGTACAAGGAAATGGCGATATTACAAGGCAGTGGCAATACTTTCCGTGTACTTGTTGAAGGCAGCAGTGTCAGCGTCGATGGCAGGAATGAGGGAGATGGCAGCTTCGTGAAGGGGAGGGATAACTTCTCTCATTGTGGAGTCGAGGGACTCCCACTGACGTTTTCCATACGTCAGTTGCCCTACCATAGCGCCCAGAGCAGCTCCCTGGGATAAAATTTGACTTAAAATTCTTTATTTCTATTAACATTACAATGTGGGGGTTACATATTATAAGATATTACACATTATAAAATACTTATTACAAAGGCCACTAGTATGCCTAGGTAAGCCTAGGCATTTTGGGCAGACTAATACTAGTTCTTACTCTATATTGACACAGGATATGGATCATACTGGTACTAAGGTTAGGTAATTTTAGTGATTAACTAGATTTACAAAATTGAGGTAGTTCAAAATATTTAAGAACTTGATTAGTTTATCTATTAATGTTAATGGTCTCGTTTTGTCATGATATAGTTCCTATCTTGAGGTGTCTTAGGCAAACTTATGACCTAGCTTAAGAATTATGATGCAATAGCTGTATTCAGAATTTTATGTTTTCAGTCATGTGTAAGTTAGGGAGAGTCGAAGATATCAATAAATGTATTTTGCTGTGGATATGTGCAAGATAAAGTAGATTTAATTCAATTCAAAGTTTATTCTCTATAAGGATTACAATGCTGAGTTTACAGAATTTGGTTATTGTGTGGTTTACATGTAGTTAAATAATGATTACAGAGTGTACCACTAGAACACCTAGCATGGCTAGGCATTTCGGGCAGACTTAGTTTAATTCTTAATTTTAAAATATTACAAATTATGGAGGCAAGTTGGTATTATGGCTAAGTGACTAAATACTAGTTTGTGAGTTTAGCAATGTGAATGCTTTTGTTTTGGCACAGTACATAGTTTCAGTATTGGAGTATTACAGGATTCATTATTTTAAGATTGAGATTAATATTTCTGTTTATAGTCAAATGGGTGAGTGAGTGTAAGTGTGAACCACCAGGTGGTGTTCATGTAGTTAGTTGACGGGGTGTATCAGGGAGATAAGATGTTTTCTAATGGTAGTTTTGAAGGTGATGAATGTGTCTGCAGTTCTAGAGTTCTCAGGTAGGGTGTTCCAGATTTTAGGGCCTTTGACATACATTGAATTTTTGTAAAGGTTTAGTCGGACACGGGGAATGTCATAGATGTTTGTGTCTGGTGTTATGCCTGTGGGTTCTGTCACAACTATCAAGAAAGCATTTTAGGTCAAGGTTGATATTGGAGTTTAAGGTCCTGTAGATGTAGATTGCACAGTAGTAAGTGTGGATGTACTGAACAGGGAGTAAGTTTAGATCTATGAAGAGTGGGGGGGGGGGGTGTTGCCAGGGATGGGATTTAGTGATTATTCTTACTGCAGCTTTTTGTTGGGTTATTATTGGCTTTAGGTGTGTTGCTGCAGTTGATCCCCAAGCACAAATAGCATAGGTGACGTATGGATAAATGAGTGGTATAGTGTGAGAAGGGCATTTTGCGGCACGTAGTATCGTATCTTGGAGAGGATCCCAACCGTTTTGGATACTTTTTTGGTTATGTGTTGGATATGGGTGCTGAAATTCAGGTTGTTGTCAAGGTATAGGCCTAGGAATTTGCCCTCCTTATGTCTGGTAATTAGAGTGTTGTCGATCATAATGTTAATTTGTGCATCTCCTGCTCTGCTACCAAACATAATATAGTAGGTTTTGTCAGTGTTAAGCGTAAGTTTATTGGCTGTCATCAAAGTCGATATTTTGATCAGCTCCTCGTTAACAATGGTGTTGAGAGTGGTAAGATTAGGGTGAGAGATGACATAAGTCGTGTCGTCAGCAAAGAGAATGGGTTTCAGGTGTTGGGATACGTTTGGAAGATCATTGATGTATATGAGGAAGAGCAGGGAACCAAGGACACTTCCCTGCGGAACTCCAGTATCAAGTGGACGTGTTGTTGATGCTGTGTCTTTAATGGTGACATAATGATACCTATTAGTAAGGTAAGATTTGAAATAAGCAAGCGCATGGCCTCTTATACCGTAATGGTCAAGTTTGTGGAGTAGGATGACGTGGTCTACTGTGTCAAAAGCTTTTCTTAGGTCAATAAAAATTCCTAGTGGATATTCCTTATTTTCCAATGCTGTGTAAAGCAGATCTAGCATTTTTATGATTGCATCATTAGTGCTTTTATTTTTCCTGAATCCAAATTGGCAGGGGTTGAGTATGTTTTGTGCCGTTATAAATGAATATAGTCTCCTGTGCACGAGTTTCTCAAAGATTTTGGATAGCAATGGTAAGTTTGATATTGGCCTATAGTTGTTTAAGTCTGTAGGGTCACCACCTTTATGTATTGGTGTAACCCTTGCCATCTTGAGTAGTTTCGGGAAGGTGCTAGTTTCTAGTGACTTGTTAAAAAGTAATGAAATAGCATGCGAAAGGACATGGGCCACTCGCTTGTACAGTAATGGTGAGACATGAGACAGATTCCCTGAGTTATTTTTAAGTGACTTTATAATCACAGTGACTTCCGTGGGCTCAGTTGGTGCAAGATAGAAGGAATTTGGGAAATTCCCATCTAGGTAGTCCCCGGCATGGGCATTGGTATGTGGGATTTTATTGGAGAGATTAGATCCTATGATAGAGAAGTCGTTTATCTTGTTAGCTGTGTCAGTGGGATGTAGTGGTGTTTCATTAGGTTTAGTTAGGACAATATTCTTGTTTTTTTCAGTTTGTGGGTCCCTAGAATCTGAGTGTGTGTTTTCCAGGTCTTTTTTATATCTCCTCTAGTGTGTGTGAATCTACTGGAGTAGTATAGTTGTTTGGCTTTCTTTATTACTTTGGTGAGAACTGATGAATAGTGTTTAAGAATATCTTTGTGTATTAAGCCCTGTCTATATTGCTTTTCATATTGGTGTTTCTTGTCAATGGATTTCAGAATGGTGCTGGTTAGCCATGGGGAACCAAGCCGTTTGTTTGTGATCTGTTTCGTTTTTATAGGACAATGTTTGTTGTATAGTCTAAGTAATTTAAGAAAAATGTCTGTACAGTCATCAATACCATTGGACTTGGAGAATTCTGTAGGCCAGTCAACAGTCTCTAGGTCAGCTGTGAACTTCCTTATTGAGGCCTCGTCATGGAGTCTAAATGAGACTTTGTTGTATTCAAGTCGTGGTTTACTAATGTTTGTCAGGAGGAAGGTAGGGTAGTGGTCTGTAGTGCTATCTGTGATTATCCCTGATTTAAGGGGGGCTAGTATATTGGTCCATATGTGGTCTATTATGGTTGCACTTGTCTCAGTGAGGCCTGGTTGGTTTAGTTATTGTTGGTATGAGAAGGGTGTTGTTCATATTGTTGATGAAATAAGTTACAGGCTGATCATCTAGTATGCCAAGGTTGATGTTGAAGTCTCCAGCTAAGAGAAGGTGGTGCTTATTCATTTGTCTGTTTGTTATTAGTGACTTTAATTTCTCACTGAAATTTGGGATGTTTGTGTGAGGTATCCGGTAAATGGCACCGATTGTTAAGGTGTCTTAAGGTTTTTTACAGTAAAATTAGCGAAAATGTATTCCCCATATTCATCACTAAAGCAAGTAATAGATTGCAATACCAACCCCAACTTGGTATGGTCTGCAGTTGTGAATTGCAGTGTATCCTGGTAGAGGGTAGATATCACTCACGTAGTTAGCTACCGGTTCTGTGTGTTAGCTACCGGTGGTGTGTGTGTATGTTAGCTACCGGTGGTGTGTGTGTGTGTGTTAGCTACCAGTGGTGTGTGTATATGTTAGCTACAAGTGGTGTGTGTATATGTTAGCTACCAGTGGTGTGTGTATATGTTAGCTACCAGTGGTGTGTGTATATGTTAGCTACCAGTGGTTGTGTGTATTATGTTAGCTACCAGTGGTGTGTGTATATGTTAGCTACCAGTGGTGTGTGTATATGTTAGCTACCAGTGGTGTGTGTATATGTTAGCTACCAGTGGTGTGTGTATATGTTAGCTACCAGTGGTGTGTGTATATGTTAGCTACCAGTGGTGTGTTAGCTACCGGTTGTGTGTTAGCTACCGGTGGTGTGTGTGTTAGCTACCGGTGGTGTGTGTGTTAGCTACCGGTGGTGTGTGTGTTAGCTACCGGTGGTGTGTGTGTTAGCTACCGGTGGTGTGTGTGTTAGCTACCGGTGGTGTGTGTGTTAGCTACCGGTTGGTGTGTGTGTGTTAGCTACCGGTGGTGTGTGTGTTAGCTACCGGTGGTGTGTATGTTAGCTACCGGTGGTGTGTGTGTATGTTAGCTACCGGTGGTGTGTGTGTATGTTAGCTACCAGTGGTGTGTGTATATGTTAGCTACCGGTGGTGTGTGTGTGTGTGTGTGTGTTAGCTACCGGTGGTGTGTGTGTTAGCTACCGGTGGTGTGTGTGTATGTTAGCTACCAGTGGTGTGTGTGTATGTTAGCTACCAGTGGTGTGTGTGTGTGTTAGCTACCGGTGGTGTGTGTGTTAGCTACCGGTGGTGTGTGTGTGTGTGTGTGTTAGCTACCGGTGGTGTGTGTGTGTGTGTGTTAGCTACCGGAGGTGTGTGTGTGTGTGTGTTAGCTACCGGTGGTGTGTGTGTGTGTGTGTTAGCTACCGGTGGTGTGTGTGTGTGTGTGTGTTAGCTACCGTGTGTGTGTGTGTGTGTGTGTTAGCTACCGGTGGTGTGTGTGTGTGTGTGTGTTAGCTACCGGTGGTGTGTGTGTGTGTGTGTTAGCTACCGGTGGTGTGTGTGTGTGTGTGTTTAGCTACCGGTGGTGTGTGTGTGTGTGTGTTAGCTACCGGTGGTGTGTGTGTGTGTGTGTTAGCTACCGGTGGTGTGTGTGTGTGTGTGTTAGCTACCGGTGGTGTGGTGTGTGTGTTAGCTACCGGTGGTGTGTGTGTGTGTTAGCTACCGGTGGTGTGTGTGTGTGTTTAGCTACCGGTGGTGTGTGTGTGTGTGTTAGCTACCGGTGGTGTGTGTGTGTGTTGTGTTAGCTACCGGTGGTGTGTGTGTGTGTGTGTTTAGCTACCGGTGGTGTGTGTGTGTGTGTGTGAGCTACCGGTGGTGTGTGTGTGTGTGTGTTAGCTACCGAGGGTGGTGTGTGTGTGTGTGTGTTAGCTACCGGTGGTGTGTGTGTGTGTTAGCTACCGGTGGTGTGTGTGTGTGTTAGCTACCGGTGGTGTGTGTGTGTGTTAGCTACCGGTGGTGTGTGTGTGTGTTAGCTACCGGTGGTGTGTGTGTGTTAGCTACCGGGGTTGTGTGTGTGTTAGCTACCGGTGGTTGTGTGTGTGTGGTGTGTGTTAGCTACCGGTGGTGTGTGTGTGTGTGTGTTAGCTACCGGTGGTGTGTGTGTGTGTGTGTTAGCTACCGGTGGTGTGTGTGTGTGTGTGTTAGCTACCGGTGGTGTGTGTGTGTGTTAGCTACCGGTGGTGTGTGTGTGTGTGTGTGTTAGCTACCGGTGGTGTGTGTGTGTGTGTGTTAGCTACCGGTGGTGTGTGTGTGTGTGTTAGCTACCGGTGGTGTGTGTGTGTGTTAGCTACCGGTGGTGTGTGTGTGTTAGCTACCGGTGGTGTGTGTGTGTGTGTTAGCTACCGGTGGTGTGTGTGTGTGTGTGTGTGTTAGCTACCGGTGGTGTGTGTGTGTGTTAGCTACCGGTGGTGTGTGTGTTAGCTACCGGTGGTGTGTGTGTGTGTGTTAGCTACCGGTGGTGTGTGTGTGTGTGTGTTTAGCTACCGGTGGTGTGTGTGTGTGTTAGCTACCGGTGGTGTGTGTGTGTGTGTTAGCTACCGGTGGTGTGTGTGTGTGTTAGCTACCGGTGGTGTGTGTGTGTGTGTGTGTGTTAGCTACCGGTGGTGTGTGTGTGTGTGTGTTAGCTACCGGTTGGTGTGTGTGTGTGTTAGCTACCGGTGGTGTGTGTGTGTGTGTGTTAGCTACCGGTGGTGTGTGTGTGTGGTGTGTGTGTGTTAGCTACCGTGGTGTGTGTGTGTGTGTGTGTGTGTTAGCTACCGGTGGTGTGTGTGTGTGTGTTAGCTACCGGTGGTGTGTGTGTGTGTTAGCTACCGGTGGTGTGTGTGTGTTAGCTACCGGTGGTGTGTGTGTGTTAGCTACCAGTGGTGTGTGTAAGGGAGATAAGACTTTTTAACGGTGCTTTTGAAAATGGTGGTTGTGTCTGCAGTTCTGGAGTTTTCAGGCAAGGAGTTCCAGATTTTAGGCCCTTTTATGTACATTGAATTTTTGTATAGATTTAGCCGGACACGGGGAATGTCAAAAAGATGTTTGTGTCTGGTACTGTGGTACGTAGTAGCGTATCTTAGAGAGGGTCCCAACAGTTTTGGATACTTTTTTTGTTGTGTTGGATATGGGTGCTGAATTTCAGGTTGCTGTCGAGGTGTAGGCCCAGGAATTTGCCCTCGTTATGTCTAGCAATTAGAGTGTTGTCGATTTTAATGTTTAATTGTTGTATTTAGAGCAAGTCTCAATTCTTCACAACCAGATGTTCTACTGAGAAGCATAATTTCACAAGGTTTAGTAAACATTTCGATAAAAGTAGCTCGGTTTCAATGGCCAGTCCCCAAAGTCAGCCGGGCCATCAGGCCAAATTTGTCCAGCTACCAAGTCCAAAGTCAACATGGCTACCCAGGCTGAAGTCTGCCAGGTTGTTAAGTCCCAAATACAAATAACTGCAGTCATAAAACCCAAAGTTTGCCCTGCTTTAGTCTTAGCTGTGGTTGCTTCAAAATGCCCGGCTATAGGCTAGCTGTGGTTATTTTGAAAATCTGGATAAATGAAGCACTAACCCAAGCTTTTCGTGCTACATGACGGTATCTGATCAAGAAAAATCATTTAAGGTTAAAAGTACCAAACGCAATCAAACGAAGTGAAATTAAAAGAGCACTGTGATGGTAAAGTTATTAGCACTCTCTACGATAAGAAAAAAAGTCAATCACCACATATGATAAACTAAAATCACATTAAAAAAATAGCAGTAATTAAATGTAGTTTGTATCTTACTAGAGCGGCGACGGTGGCAGCTACTGATCCTCCTCCAGGAGCTGGAGTGCGGGCAGCCACACTTCTGATGAACTGCTCCACACTACTACCTGCCAGTTTTCCTGCACAACCTTCCAAACTGTACTCTATAATTCGCTCTCTGAAAGTAGCGAAGATGTAGTTTAAATCTTGGATTATAGAACGTGTGTTTTGAATGTCATATACTTGTATTATGTACAGTATAAAGATTTTTAAAATAACTTCCTGCCAGATAAATATTTTATTAGTGGGGAAGCACTAAACCCTTAAGGGTTATACAGTGCATGGGTAATTGGAGAGGGGAAGGGGGTAATCAGTTTTGGTCAGAGCAGCAGCCATAATAATATTTATATAATATTAGTTTAATACCTTCACTATACACTCCTTACCTATTTTTTGTTGACAGATCAGGTCAGGACTCCACTAGTAATTTTGTCATTGATAAAATTTATAACTTAATATGGAGAGTTAAATTTACATGAGAAACGGGTAGTATCAGGTTGAAATGCGTTTTTATATTACTGATTCTCGTTTAAAGCGAGTGTGAGAAAGAACAATGTAAATAATTAATTACCCATTTATAAACACTATAATCGGTATAACATGCCAAATTAAAAAAATAACCGAGCAAAGAAAAAATTTTAATAATCACTTATGTAGTAGCATGTATTTTTAACTTCATACTTACGATAACATAAGGATAAAAAGGGATTGAAGCAGCAGACTAAAAAAAATAGAATGACAAAAATTTTAACATGCTTCTAGAATTTAATATAATCTGACGAAATTGGAAATACGAAATCTAATCATAAAATGAGCAACATAGGATTGACTTTGGCTTGAAGGGTGATAGTGTGCTAAGGCCGAGGCGGTTGATGGCGAGGTGCACCTTCTGGACCTCCTCCACAATGAAAAGCTTCTCCTTCTTGATGTAGTGCTCTGCCGCTCGCAAGATTGCAGCCAGGGGCACCAAACCCACGATCTCTGACCCTGTCACTGCCAGATTCAACTTCTCTGCGTCCTTCTTCGCCTGCAGGTGGACAGAAATGCCTTAATGCAAATATGTGTATACTTTCCATTTACAAAGCAAATACTCTATTTTTCTGTGTTGCCGCTATACTATTAATCTCGTTAGGATAATATTAATATCCATATGGCGTAAACGCATGTTCAGACTTCAGTTTTAGTTTTTTTTTCTCAACAAGAAATGACACCTTTTCGCAAGTTTGGTTACACAATATCGTTTAAGTTGCTAACTTCTTCATAGGCGATGTGTATGGGAGTAACATCAAAGTCGGTGAGATTGATGCTGATCTGTGCGATGTTCTGTTCCTGGAGGTACCACCCGATGGCCTGGCAACAGCGCAGACGACCTGGCTGGTCGGGACCTCGACCTTGTTCACGCAGGTTGAGAGCAATCCTGGTGGCAGGGGAATGAAAATAGGAGTCAATAGCAGGTGATCCCATCGTCCACATTGAGGCAATCTGCTCAAAACTAACCAGCAATTGTTGCTAATTGTATCCGTACAGTATACGGACCTGTCAACTCTGCTTCTTTTGATTATCATACAACCTATTAAATATTTAAAGTACAACTCAATAAATACAATAATCATGCAGTAAAGTATGTATTAACAGGAATGATAACATATTTACCAAACGGCTTTGAAAATAACATGAACATTAATATTTTACATGAGAGAGAATAAGACCTGTGTGCCTGCTCCTTGGTGGCCACCATATTGATGTTGTACGCAATGAGGTATTTCCTGACTCCCGTGGCAGTAGCGCCCCACCGAGGAACCCACTCACGACTCCCAAAATCTGGAGCCCATTCTTCCATTTTAAGCTGAGGATCCGTGCAAACAATCTTAGACACAGGAAAGACTAAGTAATCTAGTACTTATTCTAGTATTACTCTCTATGTGTTCCACGGTCAACTAGGCTCCGTAAGAATTTGTGAACTACATGGCTTTCATTTTATTTCATTATTCCTGTGGAAAATACTGTATATATTTTCAAGAAATACAGTAGTTATATGTAAATAGATGGCCATACTGTATTTAATAAAAATTGTTATAAAAAATGGGAAGCCTGCACCTGACCTGTGCAGAAGGAACTCGCCATTGTTGTTTTGAATTGAGAGTAACAGACGTTGTGAATAATGGGAAGAATTTTTCGTGCTCTAGAGGTTAAAATTGGGTTGACACCTTTCAAATAGGAGCCGAAATTGTTGGATGTGCATTCCTGCGTAATTTGAGTATCAGGCGACAGGACAGGACAACTCCAGGAACCTCAGATAAGCTGTCTAATTTATGTTTAAATTCTGGCCAGTAAATTTTTCATAAATGTAGGCAAAAGGGGGCTCCTGTACATGACACACTAATCTCCAGTCAAATTGGTAAGTGTTATGATTAAGATATATTCTCCTGTTATATAAATGTGTGTATATATATATAATCATTTATTATTTTTAATATACAGTCCACAAATTTATATATTTGCCAGAATTCCTGGTGATGTATCTTTTATTTATAATTAATAGGTCCAGAGCAACTTGTGGATATGACAGTGGTAGGTATCGAAGGGGGACATTTTTTGTGACCTAGGTGTCCCAAATTCCTACTTGTCTAACTGATAAATAATAATCTTTGTTCATTTACTGTTATGTATATAATGATACATTCAGCTAAATGCAATTTTCCACAATTCCTGTAATGTATGTAGTTAAATTCTACATTATATAAACCCTTATTTGTTTACAGCTTCCCAATGAATAATCTAGTTGAATCCAATGTTAGATTAAAAAAATATTCGTTGAAATTAAGCAGATAGATCTACGTCAACAAGCCAAAACAGCTGATAAAGTTCACTCATGATCCAAACATGATCCTCATGTATTAAGGTAAATTATTTGCTGGGTAAAAAATGTTTCTAAATCATGCAATAAGTGTCCAAAACGCTGAATACGTCGAGTTCTCATATACCTTTTCCTTCATTCCCTCGTACTCGCCATCGCGGATCTGGGGCATGGTCTTGCGATAATCTTTAGTGGAGGCGGCACCGTAGAGAAAGACGGGAACATCCAGCTCCTCGGCCAGGCGAGCCCCAAAAGAATTGGCGACAACCACGCACTCCTCTTCACTTACTCCCTTCACCGGGATGAAGGGGCACACGTCCATGGCTCCCATGCGAGGATGCTCTCCTGCAAATTAGGAGAACTAGATGGGTGCAGTTAGGTAACGTGTCTGTCTTGCAACAAGTGGATAAGGGACAGTGGTTCCATTACTCCTTGTGTTGAACGATTCATATGGATTTACTGCTTCACACATCAATATATAGTACATCTTAAGTGATAATCTTTTTAAATTTCCAGTAGTTGTAGCACTTCCTACTTATTACATTGTTCTATCACTGCAAAATCTTATCAGTATCCTTAGGTCATTACTAAAATGCTTTATATAATCTTTAGTGTGCGAGCCAACGCTGATGTAGTCCTTTACGTGCACGTTGGTCCAAAATCCTTTGTTAATTTCATCTCACCTGAGTTCAATTGAACCTGTTACAACAATCTAACAAACTTTTGACATCATTATGTGTTTTTAGCCATTATATGGTTAAAGTCTATGTATATGATTCTTGATACAAAAATAAACTGAAAGTAAAAGTAGCAGGCCTATTCAAGTACTTTAGTAGGAAAAAATATGAATGCACATGCACTTTTGACTAAACGAAATGATTTAGTAATCTAAACAAATTATTTCGCGAGTAATTATTACCAAGTTAAGAATAAAAAATATTTCAGTACAATACCTGGAGTTTACCTGGAGAGAGTTCCGGGGGTCAACGCCCCCGCGGCCCGGTCTGTGACCAGGCCTCCTGGTGGATCAGAGCCTGATCAACCAGGCTGTTGCTGCTGGCTGCACGAAAACCAACGTACGAGCCACAGCCCGGCTGATCAGGAACTGACTTTAGGTGCTTGTCCAGTGCCAGCTTGAAGACTGCCAGGGGTCTGTTGGTAATCCCCCTTATGTGTGCTGGGAGGCAGTTGAACAGTCTCGGGCTCCTGACACTTATTGTATGGTCTCTTAACGTGCTAGTGACATCCATGCTTTTCATTGGGGGGATGGTGCATCGTCTGCCAAGTCTTTTGCTTTCGTAGTGAGTGATTTTCGTGTGCAAGTTCGGTACTAGTCCCTCTAGGATTTTCCAGGTGTATATAATCATGTATCTCTCCCTCCTGCGTTCCAGGGAATACAGGTTTAGGAACCTCAAGCGCTCCCAGTAACTGAGGTGTTTTATCTCGTTATGCGCGCCGTGAAGGTTCTCTGTACATTTTCTAGGTCGGCATTTCACCTGCCTTGAAAGGTGTGTTAGTGTGCAGCAATACTCCAGCCTAGATAGAACAAGTGACCTGAAGAGTGTCATCATGGGCTTGGCCTCCCTAGTTTTGAAGGTTCTCATTATCCATCCTGTCATTTTTCTAGCAGATGCGATTGATACAATGTTATGGTCCTTGAAGGTGAGATCCTCCGACATGATCACTCCCAGGTCTTTGACGTTGGTGTTTCGCTCTATTTTGTGGCCAGAATTGTTTTGTACTCTGATGAAGATTTAATTTCCTCATGTTTACCATATCTGAGTAATTGAAATTTCTCATCGTTGACTTCATATTGTTTTCTGCAGCCCACTGAAAGATTTGGTTGATGTCCGCCTGGAGCCTTGCAGTGTCTGCAATGGAAGACACTGTCATGCAGATTCGGGTGTCATCTGCAAAGGAAGACACGGTGCTGTGGCTGACATCCTTGTCTATGTCGGATTGAGGATGAGGAACAAGATGGAGCGAGTACTGTGCCTTGTGGAACAGAGCTTTTCACCGTAGCTGCCCTCGGACTTTACTCTGTTGACAACTACTCTGTGTTCTGTTAGTGAGGAAATTATAGATCCATCGACCGACTTTTCCTGTTATTCCTTTAGCACGCATTTTGTGCGCTATTACGCCATGGTCACACTTGTCGAAGGCTTTTGCAAAGTCTGTATATATTACATCTGCATTCTTTTTGTCTTCTAGTGCATTTAGGACCTTGTCGTAGTGATCCAATAGTTGAGACAGACAGGAGCGACCTGTTCTAAACCCATGTTGCCCTGGGTTGTGTAACTGATGGGTTTCTAGATGGGTGGTGATCTTGCTTCTTAGGACCCTTCAAAGATTTTTTATGATATGGGATGTTAGTGCTATTGATCTGTAGTTCTTTGCTGTTGCTTTACTGCCCCCTTTGTGGAGTGGGGCTATGTCTGTTGTTTTTAGTAACTGTGGGACGACCCCTGTGTCCATACTCCCTCTCCACAGGATGGAAAAGGCTCGTGATAGGGGCTTCTTGCAGTTCTTGATGAACACAGAGTTCCACGAGTCTGGCCCTGGGGCAGAGTGCATGGGCATGTCATTTATCGCCTGTTCGAAGTCATTTGGCGTCAGGATAACATCGGATAGGCTTGTGTTAATCAAATTTTGTGGCTCTCATAAAAAATTCATTTTGATCTTCGACTCTCAGTCTGGTTAGCGGCTTGCTAAAAACTGAGTCATATTGGGACTTGAGTAGCTCACTCATTTCCTTGCTGTCATCTGTGTAGGACCCATCTTGTTTAAGTAGGGGCCCAATACTGGACGTTGTTCTCGATTTTGATTTGGCATAGGAGAAGAAATACTTTGGGTTTCTTTCGATTTCATTTATGGCTTTTAGTTCTTCCCGCGATTCCTGACTCCTAAAGGATTCTTTTAGCTTAAGTTCGATGCTTGCTATTTCTCTGACCAGTGTCTCCTACGCATTTTCAGATATATTGACCTCTTTTAGCCGCTCTGTTATTCTTTTCCGTCGCCTGTAAAGGGAGCGCCTGTCTCTTTCTATTTTACATCTACTCCTCCTTTTTCTTAGAGGAATAAGCCTTGTGCATACATCGAGTGCCACCGAGTTAATCTGTTCTAGGCACAAGTTGGGGTCTGTGTTGCTTAGTATATCTTCCCAGCTTATATCGGTTAGGACTTGGTTTACTTGGTCCCACTTTATGTTTTTGTTATTGAGTTGAATTTGGTGAATGCTCCCTCGTGACTAGTCTCATTATGTCGGTCTGGGGCTCCACGCATACATGTCTGAACCTCAATTATGTTGTGATCTGAGTATATTGTTTTTGATATGGTGACATTTCTTATCAGATCATCATTGTTAGTGAAGATGAGGTCTAGTGTATTCTCCAGTCTAGTAGGCTCTATTATTTGCTGGTTTAAATTGAATTTTGTGCAGAGATTTAAAAGCTCGTGTGAGTGAGTTTTCATCAGAGCTGCCTCCTGGTGTTATTACTGCAACAATATTATTTGCTATATTCCTCCATTTTAGGTGCCTTAAGTTGAAATCCCCCAGGAGCAAGATGTTGGGTGCAGGAGCTGGAAGATTTTCCAGACAGTGGTCAATTTTTAACAGCTGTTCCTGGAATTGCTGGGATGTTGCATCCGGAGGCTTGTAGACTACCACAATGACTAGGTTTTGGTTCTCGACCTTTACTGCTAAAACTTCCACTACATCATTTGAGGCATTAAGCAGTTCTGTGCAAACAAGTGACTCTGCAATGTACAGGCCAACCCCACCCTTCTGCCTGTTCACTCTGTCACATCTGTATAGGTTGTAACCTGGGATCCATATTTCGTTGTCCAAGTGATCCTTTATGTGGGTCTCAGTGAAAGCCGCGAACATTGCCTTTGCCTCTGCAAGCAGTCCACGGATGAAAGGTATTTTGTTGTTTGTTGCTGGCTTTAGACCCTGTATATTTGCAAAGAAGAATGTTATCGGACTGGTGGTATTGTTGGTACTGGGGGGGGATTTTTTTTCCGGCATTAGTATCTGTATCTGTTGGTTTGGAGTGGAGGCCATCGACTGTGGTTCCACTCCAGGAATGACTGGATTTGGTGTACGATTTCTGCCATTTCCTGCCAGTTTTTTTTTCCTTCCTGGCACTAAAAAAACTCTCCCTCTTGAGTGGCTGTGGGTACCCAGGTTTTCCCATGGCCTGGATGTTTTGTATCTTTTTGTCCCCTTTAGATGGTATGCCTGGCAATTTAAGTTATAGCACAGTCTTTCCTGTACTGAAGAGGTACACAGTTCAGGGTGAAAAAGCTTACAGGAAGAGAGTTTGCATTTTCCTGTTGTCATATGGGCATGGCATTTTCTAGGGTGGTCATAGTTGCACGTCCCATCTATTTTTCCAGATTTCCCATGCCAGCAGATACCAAGTGCATAGTATTTGCACAGGCTTGGTTTCTGTTTGCCTTGGGTTTCTGTGACTGTATTCCCTGTTGGTGCATGTTTCCCTGTCTTACTTCTATCCTCCCTAGCACCAACAATGGAGCTCCCACCAGTTGTTTTTGGTAATATATCCTCACTATTGCTAGTGGAGTCCTCTTGTTTGCTATTTCCTGCGGTATTTCTAGTTTGCAATATTGGTTTTATCTTATCTTTGACTACACTTGTTTCCCTACTATGGCTCCTGTCCCCTATGAGGTCATTTATATGTATTCCTTCCTGCGTATAATTCCCGACTACCTGGACAGAATCTCCAGCTTCACCATTACTGTCTCCTAGGACAGCACCTCCAGCTTCACCATTACTGTCTCCCAGGACAGCACCTCCAGCTTCACCATTACTGTCTCCCAGGACAGCACTATCAGCCCCACATTTACTGACTACCAGGACTTCATCTCCAGCCTTACAGTTTCTGACTACATGGCCAGTATCAAGGGCAGTACCATTCAGCCCAGACTTTTTATGTTCCCATCTGTTGTAGAAAGCTTCCAGGTTTTCTATGAAAGCTTTGATGTTGTCCTCTTTTAATACCCTTGTGATTTTAGTCCACAGATTTATCTCATTTGGGCATACCCAAAAACACTTCCCTGTTTTAACACTGCTTGTAGCTAGTTCTTGGATATCTGCACAAGGGGTGTGACACCAATTTCCACAAAAATGACAATTTACCCATGTGGAAGCCCGTTTGTTTGACTGACCACAGACTACACACAGCTTCATAATGATTTGAATGGTTGATTTACTGCAATTCTACTAGCAACCTCGAATATTCTATTAATAACCTCCTTAAATGAAGCTCTAGCTATTTGTATTTCTGTTTCTAACTGTTTTTGTATATTGGACAGCTTACCAT